TTTCATTCTCCATCCTGAAGCTTAATTTCGCTGGATACACAATTCTTGGTTGGAACCCATTTTCTTTCAGTGTTTGAAATATGTTATTCCAGGATCTTCTAGCTTTCAGAGTCTGTGTTGAAAGATCAGCTGTTATCCTGATTGGCTTGCCCCTAAATGTAATCTGCTTCCTTTCTCTTGTAGCTTTTAAAATTCTCTCCTTATTCTGTATGTTGGGCATCTTCATTATAATGTGTCTAGGTGTGGATCTCTTATGATTTTGCACATTCGGCGTCCTGTAGGCTTCTAGGATTTGGGATTCTGTCTCATTCTTCAAGTCTGGGAAGTTTTCTTGTATTATTTCATTGAATAGACTGCTCATTCCTTTGGTTTGGAGCTCTGTACCTTCCTGTATCCCAATGACTCTTAAGTTTGGTCTCTTAATGTTATCCCATATTTCTTGGATGTTCTGCTCATGGTTTCTTAACAGTCTTGCTGAGCTGTCTATGTTCTTTTCCAGTTGAAATACTTTGTCTTCATTGTCTGATGTTCTATCTTCTAAGTGTTCTACTCTGTTGGTAGTATTCTCCATTGAGTTTTTAAGTTGGTTTATTGCTTCCTGCATTTCTAGGATTTCTGATTGCTTGTTTTTTATAACCTCTATCTCCCTGTATAGTTGATCCTTTGCTTCCTGGATTTGTTTGCGTAATTCGTTGTCGAAGTGATCTTTCATTGTCTGATTTTGCTGTTTAATGTCTTCCTTGATACTCCAGATCATCTGAAGCATGTATATCCTGAATTCTTTATCTGACATTCCATCTGCTGCAGCTGTTACCTCTTCTAAAGTTGCGTTGACCTGCATTGCTTGTGGTCCTTTCTTTCCTTGTCTTTTCATACTGCTTGCGTATCTTTCCTGCAGGTGCGGGCGGCGGCTCTGCTCTCTCCTTATTCCAATTGGGGTGTCGTGGCTACCACGCCGGCAGGTCACTGGGCCTGTTCTGGGAGCTGGTGGCGGCTCTGTTCTGCCCCTACTCCAATTGGGGTGACGTGTCTGTCGTACCAGCAGGCCACTGGGCCTGTCCCGCTGGTCGGTCGCAGATCTGCCCACCTTTCGGGCACGGGTGGAGGCTCTGCTTTGCCCCTACTCCAATTGGGGTGTCGTGACTACCCCGCCTGCAGGACGCTGGGTCTGTTCCTGGCAAGGGAGGCGACTCTGCTCTGTCACTACTCCAATTAGGGTGGTGTTTGTACCACGCCGGCAGGCTCCTGGGCCTGATCCGCCGGTCTGTTGTAGGTCTGCCTACCTTGAAGGCGCGGGCGGCGGATCTGCCCTGCCCCTCCTACCACGCCTGCGGACCCCTGGGCCTGATCTGCAGGTTGATCACTGGTCTGCTCACCCTGCGGGCACGGGTGGCGGTTCCGCTCCACCCCCACTCCAATTGGGGTCACGTGACCACCACACCGGCAGGGCCTGATCCGGGCGTGGGATAAGGATCTGCTCTGCCCCTACTCGAGTTGGGGTGACGTGTGTACCACACTGGTAGGCCACTGGGCCTGACCCGCCAGGCTGTCACAGGTCTGTTTACCTTGCAAGCGCGAAGGGCGGCTCTGCCCTGCCCCTCCTACCACGCCCATGTACTACTGGGTCGTGGGTCTGCCCACCTGGCGGGTGTGGGTGGCGGCTCCGCTCCGCCCCCTCTCCAATTGGGGTCACGCGGTCACCACGCTGGCGAGCCGCTGGGCCTGCTCCGGGGGCTGGCGGCGGCCCGGCTCCTTCCCTCTGGCTCGAGGACAAATTGAGGAGACTCGGGTGACTGAGCCTCACCCCCCTTACCAGGAGACCAACTGCTTATGTCACCGCTGGTATTGATGAAGATCTCTCCTCCACCGCTTTCTGCTGACATCAGATCTCTGCCATGTTGGTATCCTGTGCGAATGGCAGCATTTCGTTCCCCTTGCCAGGCAACCCAAGCAATGGGTGAGTCCTGACCTGCCCTCAGCAGGACCCGGACCGAGACACAGTTTCCGCGGGCTCCTAGCCCCGGTCCAGGGAAGTTCCGGGAGCCGGAACTCGGCCGCTCCGTGCTCGGTGTAAGCTCCTATAAGTGTAAGCTCCAAGAAGCAGTCCCCGCGGGCTCAGTTCCGGGAGCTGGAATTCGGCTTCTTGGTGCTTGGTGTTTGCTCTGATAGTAGCAGGGTCCAAGAAGCAGCCTCCGCAGGCTCCGCAGCCCGGAGCCAGGGCGGTTCCGGGACGGTTCCGGGAGCCGGAACTCGGCCGCCCCGTGCTCCGTGTTCACTCCGATAAGATCAGATTTTAAGAAGCCCCCAGGCGCTGAACCCTAGCAATCTGTCTGCAAGCCGCAGGCGAATTGCAGCCTGAAATTACCTGTTCTATGGCTGAATGAGCTGCGGTCAGTCAAAAACAGGTGTGGTGACGTCAGTTTACCAACATGGTGGCTGCTGGCCTCCTCTGTGGTCTGACCGGTGTGGAGAACCGAGATGGACCGCTTCCTTCCCCGTCTCGAACCCAGAATTCAGCCCTGAGTGCGGTGCTTGCGCGTCTGGCAGAAACTGCAGCGCTGTATCCCTGCGTCTCTATCCCAGCGCGCGTTGCAGACTCTAGCCGCGGGGCGATTTGCTGAATAAGCAGTGTTACCCTCCGTGCGACAAACCTCTCGCGTTTGAGTCCCCGTAGCCGATCTGAAATGAAAGATGATGAAGAGAGAGAGCTTCAGATGGATCCTGCAGACTATGGAAAGCAACGTTTCAATGATGTTCTTTAACTCGAGTTTCTTCTGGCGTCAGGAACTTAACCTCTTCACGGAAGTAAAAGTCGAACCCTCCAACCCCCTCAGCTGTGGCTGCCTGCATTCCTTCCCTCCCGCCTCGAGGAATTGTGGAGGGAGGGGGAGGAGCTGTCTTATTTTTTTAGATTAGGAGGAGGAAAGTTTCACTTTGTAGCTGAAAAAGTCACCAACTGTTTTTTTCAACTGGATAAATTTGAACTGTTTCTTTCTGGAATAGCTTTGGAAATAGCCACAGAATATCTGGGTAAGTTTCATAGGCGGGGGACCACAACACCCACAAACATTTATTTCCCCGGTACACTACAAAAGTATTGTGACAACTTAGTGAATTGAACATAGTGGTTGAAGGACTGAAGATAGGTATATGCTTGGTTGTGAAAGATAGTGCCAGCTTGGGGAGAGTAGAGGAGAACAATCAGTTAAATGGAGTTAGTTGATATGATGCCTTGAAGGTCAAGTCAGGAACGTGGGCTGTCAAACTTTGCTAATACAATCTGCATTAATGAAAAGCCTAGATTACGTGTACATAATAATATGCCACTTTATTATTTTCAGTACATTCTGTACATATGAAATGGCTAAGTGTTGCCTAGCAGAGGTCCCACCAGACCTGATCCTGCCTGATTTATAATTAGTACATTTATTTGTTAGTATGCAAATGAGTACTGCCGTGGCACTTAGGAAAAAATGTGTTATTAAATAAGTGCAACAATCTTCCTGTAATCTTGCTCCAACTATTCATTAGTTCCACCAAACTCTTTTTTCACAGAAGGTACAAAGCTAAACAACAAACCAGTAAAAGTATGTGCATTTACACAATGGCAGTCTAGTTGTGTTAGACTGGGAAGGTGGTATAAAGATATGACAAGCATGCAAATAAGCAACAAGTGTGTAAAATGGATCTCCCAGCAGCATATAGAAGAGCCTAGAAAAGGTGCAATTTGAAATAAGCAAAAATAAAACTTCCCATTTATCCACTTGGTCTAATTTGGACTTAGAGATATGACAAAAAATGCTTTGGAGTCAAAAGTCAAAGCCTAGCTCCATCATTTATAGCTGTATAACTTTGGCTGAGCAAGCTCCTCTGTGCCTAGAATAGAGGTGAGGCTCAACAAATATTCTTTCCTGATGCTCCCCCACATACATGAAAACATTAACAGTATAGAGGCATTCTAGCATAGTGATCAAGCAAGATATGACTCTGAAGACATATTGAGTTCAGAATCCTGACTCTACCACACTGACTTTGTGTCAATTTGATAAGTTTAACCTTTTTATTTGTTGGTTTTCTCCCCTGTAAATTGGGCATTTTAATAGTCTTGTTTATCTTATAAGGTTGTGGTGAATGTTTAATAAGATAATCCACATAAAGCACTTAGCTGAGTGCCTACAACATAGTAAGCCCCAAATAAATATTAGCTCCTAAAAGTTTTCTTTGTTTTTGCTTATGCCCAATCAATTTCACTAAAAAAAAAAATTGGTCTGGAGAAAGACATTAAACATTACCTCTATGTTGCCTAATTCAGTGGACATTCCTACATGACTTTTGCAGCATTTAATATTGATTTCTCCTTGTTGAAATGTAAAAAGAGGGAAGATTTCAGGAAGATGTGAGCAAATTATTTAGAGGATAAATTTTTGGATCAAATGCTGGAAAGAGATGTGGAATCTCTTTCTCTGGAGCACTAAAAAGTGATCAGCTAAATCATCACATGTATAGTCACTGCCCAAAGGCAGGGACTGGTTCAGATAACTCTGGGGGTTTCTTTTTACCTTTAGAGTCTGAGTCTTCCAATTTAGTGAATGATAACAGCTACACAAATGGCTAAAATTCAGGCCTGGATATGTTACATGTGTCACTGCAATGCCCACACAGTGGAGAGTATCTAGTTTACATCCTCATGAAGTACATACTCTTCAACTTTTACACTTGATGAAATAGGCTCAGAAAAGCACCGATGATAGAAACATGAAGATAGTGAGTTTTAAATCTAGAATGTTATTTTTTCATTTATTTACCCACTGTTTAATAAATCCAACCAGTATTAAATTTATCTCCTACTATGTGACAGGCACTGTCTATATCACTGATGTATAGCATTGAACATAGAAGATAAAATCCATGCCCTTGGGAAACTGGTGTTTTAGTAAGGGAATAATATAAGCCAGGACTGTCTGGTTCCAAAGCCTGATTCTATTCAATAATCTCATATAATGCACAGATGGGCTTTTGTGTCACATTACCATTTTACAGTGAAGTTCAAATTTTCCCGTTTTAGACACAGCAGAACCATACACCAAGGAAACCAAACTACTATCTCCGAATTCTTCCTCCTGGGACTTACAGTGGGGTCTGAACAGCAGCAGATCATCTTCATGCTGTTTCTATCCATATATCTAGTCACCATGGTAGAAAACTTACTTATCATCCTAGCTATTATCAGTGACACTCACCTCCACAGTCCCATGTACTTCTTCATTGCAAATCTATCCTTCATTGACATCTGCTTCACAACCACTACAGTCCCCAAAATGTTGGCAGACATTCAAAGCCAGAGTCCAACCATCTCCTTTGCAGGATGCCTTACGCAAATGTATTTTTTTATGCTCCTGGTGGACCTGGACAATTTCCTCTTGGCAGCCATGGCATATGACCGGTATGTTGCGATCTGTCACCCATTACAGTATGCAGCATTATTGAATCCCAAGCGCTGTGCCCTGTTGGTTGTGACTCCATGGGTTATTTCCAACCTGGTTTCAGTACTGCATCTCAGTCTGCTGATTCATTTGACTTTTTGTGATCAGAGAGCAATTCCACACTTCTTCTGTGACCTGGAACCCATTTTAAGGCTTGCTTGCTCAGACACCCAGATCAACAACTTGTTTATCCTAGGCATCGGTGGAACAGTTATCTTCATCCCCTTCATTTTCATTCTTCTCTCCTACACCCTTATTGGCAGCACTGTGCTCAGGGTTCCATCAACTAAGAGAAAGTGGAAAACATTCTCTACATGTGGATCCCATCTCTCCACTGTGTCCCTCTTCTATGGATTCATTGTCGGGGTCTATTTTCTCCCCTCTTCTGCATACTCAGCAGAAAGGGAAAAGGTAGCTGCTATCATGTATACAATTGTAACCCCCATGATGAATCCTTTCATCTATAGTCTAAGGAACAAAGACATGAAAAGAGCATTAAGGAGAATGTTGAGCCGAAAAAGCTTTTTCTGGAGTTGGTGAATTCTGCCATAAGACATCTTTATCATCTTTATCTTTCTTTGACCTGGATGAACTCAAAGAGGATCCAGGGCCTCAGGCGAACCCACTCTCTTAACAGTTTTCTTCCTATCTATTTTCAGACCCAAGACTCTACACCAGACTCATCTCATCATAAAGAAATACACTAAAAATACCAAAATTGCTCCTTTATTCCACAATCTTCACCACTTACAGAGTTTTTCTTGAACAAACTCATGAGTGTATAGTTGGTGCTTAATAATTGCTCTCTAATTTTTTGGTTTATGTTTCCTTTCTTCCTTTTACCAAACCTTACATATTAGATTGTAAACATGAAAAGAAGAAGGAGGGGAGAAAAGAATGCAAGGAGAGCAGAGAAAGAAAGAGAGAAAGTGATGATGATAGCTTAAAATATCTTACATATAATGCCCTGCTAAAGTATACAACTTCTGGGTTGTGGCTGTAGCTCAGTGGTAGAGCGCTTGCCTTGCATGGGTGAGGCACTGGGTTCAATCCTCAGCACCACATAAAAGTAAATAAATAAATAAATAAAGGTATAGTGTCCATCAACAACAAAATTCTTTTTTTTAAAAAAAAAAGTATACAACTTCCAAAAAACTGCACAACTTCCAAATAATAATGTGAAACTCACTATAACCTCCACTATAATTATTATATTGTTCTCATTTGCTGGACAAGGAAAGAAAGTATTACTAAGAAAAAAAATAGGGCAAAAACAAAACATGTGTCTTGTCATGCTATGAGCCCCATAGAGTCTGGCTTCCAGTTAAATTTCTTCAGCTTTTAAGATTCTCTACCACCTGAATTCACCTATATTTCCAAGAGAATGAAACATCACTCACTACCCTCCCTAACCATCCTTGGCAAACTGTACATTTTTAGCTCCATGAAACTGCATGAAACTTGTCTTGGTACATGTTATGTCCTTTCCTTTAAATATCTGTTTTACTCTATTCCTAAAGACATGCAGTGCTTTTTTAAAGCTCCATCTCAAGTGTTGCATCCTCTGTGAACTCTTTCATGTTTGACACATATTTCTAAGAACAATTACTTTGCTTCTCTAGGCTCCTATAGCATTTTATTTTTTGTAATTTTAATTTAATTTAATGCTGAGGGTAGAACTCAGAGACTCATACATGCTAAACACATACAACCACTGAGTTATACCACTAGTCCATAACACATCAATGAATACTCCTTGTAGCATATTGTATCACTCAACACAGTGAATTATAATCAGCAGAATATTTGTTGGCGTATCCAAGATGCCCTGAGCTCTTTGAAGGGGTAGTGACTATGTTTCATTAAGGTTCGTAGTTCTATCTTTAGATTAAATTAAGTACTCAGTAAGATGAATTGAAAAAGGAAGTTGTCATTTTTTTCAGAATAGAAAATTTAGTTTTAGTTTATCTTTTGCTGATTAGATGAACTTTAATGTCCCACCTGTACAATCTATGAAATCAGTTATACCAACTTTTGCCTCTTAGCTATGCCCATTGACCATGTAGGACATTTAGTACTTAAAACATCCTGAGACAGAAGTCTATGAAAGTGACATAATAGATAGGTGCCAGGAGTCCAGAATAAATCAAGAAACACAAAAAGAAAGTCAGGAATTAAACCTATAAGAATATAAAGGCTTGAGACAAACAAGGATTTTGGTGAGTGTATGAAAGTTAAGACCCGATGCCTGGGACCTTTCATGTATATCTGTATAATATGCTAACATTTAATAATGGAATAAACTTCAGGCTTTTCATGGACCAAATGTATCCCATTGAGTTATACTATCCAGGTTGAATAAAATTGGCTCTCATCTGGCATTGTGGCACATACCTGTAATTCCAATGGCTTGGGAGGCTGAGGTAGGAGGATCACAAGTTCAAAGCCAACCTCAGCAACAGCAAGGTACTAAGCAACTCAGTGAGACCCTGTCTCTAAATAAAATACAAAATAGGGCTGGGGATGTGGCTAAGTGGTCGAGTGCTCCTGGGTTCAATCTCTGGTACAAAAAAAAAAAAACAGAGAAAAGATTCTTTTTTTTTTTTTTAATTAAGGTTCCTTCCTTCTAGGGCTAGGGTTGTGGCTTTGTAGTCACACACTCATGGGGAGAATGGTCTAGTCAGTGCTTTATATTAAGTGTAGTTTTCAGACAAGGGCTAATGATAAAAGTACTTGCTACTGGTCAGTGAGATACTGAGGAAAAACTTGAGAGCAATCATTTACAAGCATGGAGAAATTTGATATTGTCATAAAATTTTTATTTTATGAAATTATCAGTGTATGATAAATTGGGAATTAAAAATAAAAAATTAGCTATTTAACACATTTTGAGAGGCTCTGGCCTTCTCTACTTCTCTTCTTTCTCTTCCTCCTCATCATCCTCCTTTTCTTCTCCTCTTCGTCCTTATCCTTTATTATTCATAAAATCTTTAGCAGGACTCTGGCCAATGCAATTAGGATTTAATATTGATTCAATAATTTTAAAAATCAATTAAAGCAAAGAGTCATTAAACACTCCTATACATGGATATCCTTAATACTTTATTTTTGAATGCTTTATTTTGAATTACTCTATGCAAAGATATATTCCTCAGCTAGTCTTTGAATCCAGGGCCAAGATCCTTTCTTTGACTTCACCCACAATGCATCATCTTTGACTTCCAGTTTCAATTTCTTTAAAATGAAATAAGAACTTAAAGACAATCCCAAAGCAAGCTAAGTCCTCCTTGGGAAGTTTTCCATTTTGTTCCCAATTTTTTACATCTAACTCAAGAATATTATTTTTAGAGATCTTTATTGAGCAATTTCAATACATATAATTTAGTTTGCATAGAAACGATTTTTTACCTTCATATTGCATTGTCTCATATATTTTAATTAAATTTAGCTTACATAAACAAATGAAAATATCAGATGGGTTTTGGGGAAAATACAACTGGTAAGATAATCCAGAGTTGGTGGAACATGACCATAACAATGCGAGCTTAGAAAATAGCCATCTTCATTTGCAGGGAAATGGATGGCATTAGAGCAGATTATGCTAAGTGAAGTTAGCCAATCCCAAAAAACAAATGCCGAATGTCTTCTCTGATATAAGGGGGGTGACTCAAAATAGAGTAGGGAGGAAGAGCATGAGAAGAAAATTACCTCTAGATAGAGAAGAGAGGTGGGAGGGAAAGGGAAGGAGAAGGGGAATTGCATGGAAGAGAGAAGGAGACCTCTTCGTTATACAGAATACATGCATGATGATGTGAGGGGGAAAAGAAAGAAGTGGGTCACATTAGATTGGGTAGAGAGAAGTGATGGGAGGGGAGGGGAGGGGAGGGGAAGGGGGGAATGGAAGGACAGCAGAATAAAATAGACACTAGTATTGCTGTGGGTATATACCTGACTACGTGACCAATGTGATTCTGCAACCTGTACACTCAGAAAAATGAGAAATTATATCCCATCTCATTCAAATGTACGATATGTCAAGATTATTGTACTGTCATGTGTAACTAATTAAAACAAATAAAAAATAAAAATAAAAATTTAAAAAAAGAAAATAGCCATCTTGCCACAAATATTCCTCAGGGCAGGACCATTGGCAGAAAGTTTTGCACAGGGAATGAAGAGTGCCTTTGAACTACAGAGTTTACAGTAATATCTTTAAAAGAGAAGTTTGTGTATATAAGAGTAGAGTGACTCTGGCTACAGCTAAGGCAGAGGCCCAATGGGGCCACTCTTTCAGTCTAATCCTCATTTTATTTTGGCTCATATGTAGAAATTTTGTGTCTAATAGGAAGCAAAATTCTGTATTAGTGACTTACTCAGGTTGCCTATTATGAATATATATATGTTTACAAGCATGGAGAAATTTCATATTGTCATAAAATTTTTATTTTATTGTAAGAAATTATAGGTGTATGATAAATTGGGAATTAAAAATTAAAAATTGGCTATTTAACACGTTTTGAGAAGCTCTGGCCTTCTCTACTTCGCTTTGTTCTCTTTCTTACATATATATTTATGAATATGTGTGATTTCTTCCCACTCCATAAACATACTCACCAAGTTGATAAGGGACAAGCAAAAATTAAGGTGTAGAAGAAAAGAAGTACCAGGATGGGGCTGTTCTCACACCAAAAATAAATAAATAGATAGATAGATAGATAGATTAGTTAATTAATTAAGATTTCACTTCAGATGATATCATAAGGCCAGAAAATGGACCAGAGCAGATCATGTTTGGACTAACATATTGGGGAAATGATAGAAAATCCTCTCCTGTAGTGCCTGAATTGCAAATGGTAGTACCAAACAGGATGTCCTTCCTCTATGCTACTAATTTTGTCATTTGGGAGGAAAGTGGGGCATTTTGGAACATGTGGCTTCAAGAAAGCTTAGACTGTGTCTTCATCTCTGAGGCCATACTTCAACCTGGTGCCATTTACAGAATAGGAACTAAAATTATTCGTGAAATGAATGAATAAAAAATTGCCTGTAAGTCCAAGACCTTGAACAAGATTATACCTGGGTCTGTGACGTCAGATAAATTGATCATCCTGATCTCAAGTATCTGGAGCTTCAGCAAATCTGATTGTATATCGCATGGCCAGAAGAAATTCTTTTGTAGATAAAGTCAATAGCAGCTTTTAGGGTATGATTTGTTATGCTTCAAAACATAAAAGGGAGGTATACCTGGTATGCGTATGATAGTACATGTGAAGAAATGAGGAAATTCAATGCCTTTATTATGTATGTATCTACTAACCATGTTCTTAATATCAGATAGGGAAGATAGACCTTATCCCTTGGAGATTATAATCTTTGATAAACAATTTTCAGGCAGACCACTCAACTTTTCTTTGATGAAAAGGCCACATAAATTAAATATACTAATAAATTAATGAGGCTTTTACATTGTGAATTATCAAAGAATGGAATGTTTACTGTAAATTACAGTGAAGGAGATCGTTTTAGAGTAAATCAATAGA